GGAATGGGAACGGGACATTCCTGGAGGTCCTGGGATGGGAATGGGAACAGGAGAGTCCTGGAGTCCTGGGATGGGAATGGGACATTCCCGGAGGTCCTGGGATGGGAATGGGGATGGGACATTCCTGGAGGTCCTGGGATGGGGATGGGAACGGGACATTCCCGGAGATCCTGGGTGGGTTCTGCTGGAGCAGGGGGGGGTGGGAACAGGGACCCGTGGGATCCTCATCCCTCGGGAGGCCGGAATGTGGGGCCAAGGGCTTTCCAGGTGTTTCCAGGTGTTTCCAGGTGTTTCCAGGTGCTTCCCTGTTCCCGGTGAGGAGCTTCCCAGGTGGAATCCGAGCCCAGGAGGCCCCCGGGGGGGGTCACTGGGCCCCCTGGAGGGTCTTTGTGCCGCCTCCGTTGGGTAAAGAGCCAGGAATTCCCTGCCCCGCTCCGGCAAAAAGCCGGGAATGGCACCGGGCACTGGCAGAGACTGGAAGGGAAGGAGAAGGGGGGTCAGGAACGTTCCAGAACAGCCCCAATTCCCGAATTTCGGAGGGGTGGGAGCACTCACGGGGCCTGGGCCGGGAGCGGACGGCGCTGATGACGGCGGGGATGGGCTGCTCCAGGCTGGGAATGGAAGGACACGGATTAAACTCGGCCCAGGGGGCACAGGAACCATGGGAAGAGATCGGGGGAACAGCTGGAGAGGTTCTGGGGAACAGCTGGAGAGGTTCTGGGGAACATCAGGTGATGGTCTGGGCATCACCCCCCAGGGACATCCTGGAGAACATTCCCAGAGGTTCCAGGGAACACCCAGAGAGGGTCTGGAGAACACCCAGAGAACACCCAGAGGAGTTCTGGGGAACAGCCGGAGAGGTTCTAGAGATCATCCAGAGAACCTCAGGAGGAGCTCTGGGGAACAGCCAGAGAGGTTCTGGGGATCATCCAGAGAACCTCGGGAGGAGCTCTGGGGAACAGCTGGAATGGTTCCAGAGAACATCCAGAGAGATTCCGGGGAACATCTGGGGCCATTATGGGGAACATCCCCAGAGATTCCAAGGAACATCCAGAGGGGTTCTGGAGAACACCCAGAGAACATCCAGAGGAGTTCTGGAGAACAGCTGGAGAGGTTCTGGGGAACATCTGGAGATGGTCTGGGCACCACCCCCCAGGGACATCCTGGAGAACATTCCCAGAGGTTCTGGGGAACATCCACAGATGTTCCAGGGAACATCCAGAGAGGTTCTGAAGAACACCCAGAGAACATCTGGAGAGGTTCTAGAGAACATCCAGAGGAGTTCTGGAGAACATCCAGAGATGTTCTAGGGAACATCCAGAGAGGTTCTGGGGAACATCAGGTGATGGTCTGGGCACCACCCCCCAGGGACATCCTGGAGAACATCCCCAGAGATTCCAGGGAACACCCAGACAGGGTCTGGAGAACACCTAGAGAACACCTGGAGAGGTTCTATGGAACACCTGGTGATGGTCTGGGCACCACCCAGAGACATCCTGGAGAAGTTCCTGAGAAAAATCTAATAAATTCTAGAGGACATCTGGAGATGTTCTGGAGAACACCCAGAGAACATCTGGAGGAGTTCTGGAGAACATCTGGAGAGGTTCCAGAGAACATTCACAGAGGTTCTGGAGAACAACTGGAGAAGTTCTAGGGAACACCCAGAGAGGTTCTGGAGAACACCCAGAGAACATCTGGAGAGGTTCTGGGGAACATCTGGGGACGGTCTGGGCACCCCCCTACAAGGGACATCCTGGAGAACATCCAGAGGAGTTCCATAGAACTTCCAGAGAGGGTCTGGAGAACATCTGGTGATGGTCTGGGGACCACCCAGAGACATCCTGGAGAACACCTGGAGAAGTTCCTGAGGAAAAACTAATAAATTCTAGAGAATATCTGGAGGTGTTCTGGAGAACATCTGGAGAGGTTCTAGGGAACATCCGGAGAGATTCTGGGGAACATCTGGAGAGGTTCCCGGGAACATCTGGGGACGGTCTGGGCACCACCCCCCAGGGACATCCTGGAGAACATCCCCAGAGGTTCCAGGGAACACCCAGAGAGGCTCTGGAGAACACCCATGGAAGTTCTGGACACCTTCTAGAGAACATCCAGAGAAGTTCTGGACAACACCCAGAGGAGTTCTGGAGAACATCTGGAGAGGTTCTATGGAACATCTGGTGATGGTCTGGGCACCACCCAGAGACATCCTGGAGAACATCTGGAGAAGTTCTTGAGGAAAATCCAATAAATTCTAGAGAATATCTGGAGAAGTTCTGGAGAACATCTGGAGAAGCTCTGGAGAACATCTGGAGAAGTTTTGGGGAATATCTGGAGAAGCTCTGGGGAACATCTGGAGAAGTTTTGGAAGCCTCAACCCAGGGAGCCTGGGCAAAAACTTGGAAGCAGCAAATGGGCCTGAGCTGCTGGGATTTGTCCTTCCCGTGGCCAAACCTGACTCCAAACTGAGGATTTGGGCAGTTGGGGCTGTCCCTGGAGATGGTCCCTCCATCCCAACCCACCCCACGATCTCCTGATGTCCGACCCAGCAATCCCAGCAATCCCAGTGTTCCCAGTGTTCCCAGTTCACCTGCTCTCCTCGCCCTCCATGAGCTTCCTGTAGGTGAGGATCTCCACGTCCAGCGCCAGCTTGATGTTCATGAGCTCCTGGTGCTCCTTGACCAGCTGGGCCACGCGCTCCTTGCTCCTCTGCAGGGCCTCCTCCAGCCCCGCCAGCTTGGCCTTGGCATCCCGGAGAGCTGAGTCCCCCTGCTCACCTGCCTCCCGGATGTGCTCCTCCAGGAACAGGCACTGGGAATGGGAAAGGGAATGGGAATGTCACAGGACACCCCCAGGGCTGTGTCCCCCTGCTCGCCCGCCTCCCGGATGTGCTCCTCCAGGAACAGGCACTGGAAGCGGGAATGGGAATGGGAATGTCACAGGACACCCCCAGGGCTGTGTCCCCCTGCTCACCCGCCTCCTGGATGTGCTCCTCCAGGAACAGGCACTGGGAATGGCAC